AGTGCATCGTATATTTTCTACAAATTTATGAAAATTAATAAAAATAATAATAATAAAAACTTTGAAAAAAATATGTATAATATTTCAATATTATTACATATACTGAATAAATAAATATTGAAAAATAAAAATTATAAAAATATAAAATGCTCAGAAAAAAATACTTAACAAATATATCTTTCCATATTTTCAATTTTTATTACCATTTTAATATACGATTTCTACCTCTCGTGCAAAGATTGTGTATTCAAAAGTTTTACAACAATGTATGAAATTAAAAACTTGCAGAATCCTTCAAGTTTGTTCCTTGCTAACGCACACAAATAAGCCAAATTCGAACCGGGTGGGGGTATATTTTCATGCGTTATTTAGCGTCATTCTATAGAATCATGTTTGAATCAGTAAATTTATGCCCTTCGGATAGTGAGTTGAAATTTTATATTAACGATTTTCAAATAATATATAGAAGATTATTGGTGTTGTTGTAAAATTACTTCAGTGTTATTTATGTAAGTATTAATATACATGTAATTAGATGTTTTTGTGTATTTGGATGGGAGATGTTTATTTATTTAGATTTGTTTACATGTGTAAATCGATCCTAAAAAAATGTCATTCGTATAGTAAAGTTATGCATATCAGTAAGGAAGATAAATGCAACCCGGCATATTTTTTAAATGAATTTGAATACTTGCACCGACTAATCAAAATTAATATAAATAATAATTGATATTTGAAATTGTCTTTATTTATGAATTTTAAATTATATCATTCACGGCAGGTTGTTATATATAAAAAACAATGTTGTGATAATTTTTAAATCGCCTATGTTTGCCAATATTTTTATAAATTCATTTTAAAATTAATAACTAGTAGTAATTAAAATTAAATAATAATATTACGATTATAAAAACAAATTCACTATGATTATGAAGAACGCAAGCGGAATTTAATAAGTGCATCATTATAGATTCTTATATTTGTGATGGTAGACAATCATTACTTGGCTTTTTCTCCTGCTATTATTTCGTGAAAAAGAGAAAGATTTCATAGCGAGAGGGAGATGTAGGATAAGCAGAAGAAAACTTTTATCGATCCAAATTTATACCAATTTATATACATAGGTTCGAAAACAATATTTCATCTTCAGAGTTCATCACTTTTATAAAACATTTATATTTTAAATTTACATTTATATGCGCCTTTCAATTAAATTATAAATTCTATTATTTTATATTTCCTCTATTTTACCGGTGTACCTTTATTTTAAATACAGTTATTTAAACTCAGTTTTGGTTTGCCTTTTTATTACATTCATCCCAAAATTCGAAAGCCAAATTGTCAAGGTTCTCAACGTCAATTTGTATTTGTGTATGTATCCGTAGGTAAAATTCCACCCGAATCCTGCATGTATGCGTTTAATACCTGTCTCGCCACATATTTTTTTGCTTCCTTCTGGGGTCCAAATATTATTTTTTCTTGAATAAAATGCATCAAACCAATATTTCAAATACGATCATTTTTATATAAGTTCATAAATCATATTTATAAACTAAATTTATTTTAAAGTAAATCCTATAAGGTCAAATAGGTCTTAAGAATAAAATCACCGGGTTTTGGTAAAGGGATTTTTACTGAAATCCGAACAATTTTACGATCTTTATCATAGTATTTGTTAATTAAAATATTTATAATTTTCCCAAAAAATAATTTCCTATTACTGTTTTCTTTATTATTAAAAAAAGAGAAATGCAATGAATCTATACTATATGATCTCGGCAAATATAATATTAATTTATATCCGTTTGCTTAATTTAATAATATAAAAAATATAGTCGAAGCATTCTTTTATAATTCTCTTATCAACAAGTTAGTATTCAATAATAATGTACCACATGTAGATTTTTTTTTTTTTTAATTTGAAATGCATTTAACGAGGGCATTAAATTTCTAATTTTATACTTATAATTTTTTTTACTTTTCATAAAAGCACTTCTTATATTTTAAATATGTAAAGAATGAATTTTAGAATTATTTAAATTTTTGAATTTGTAAAACTACTCAATTATTATGTTTGCGAGAAAAGACTGATATTTTTAGATATTTTTTGCCGAGAAGACGGAATTTTATGCTACGAAAAATTAAAGTCAGAAAATTAAACCCCGCCCTTTCACTCATTTATTGAACACGATTTTTAAATTTCGACTACCGAATTGCTTTTAACATATTATATAGAATTTAATTATATATATAAAATATTATTAATTTAATATATATATATATATAATATATATATAATATCAATAAATGTAAGTAGTTGTTAATATTATTTTTCGAACGAAGTACCATCAGAGTTAACAATTGTGATGAAAATAATAGCAAATTTTTTTTGCTTGATAGAACGATAGACGAACTCTATTTGTATTATTAATAAGTCATTATCAATAAAGTATTAAATATTATTAATTATAATAAGGCAGCTATAATAGAAATATGAAAACGGTTTTCAACTGAAAATCACAAAATACAAAATATATTTTCAATGCATTATTGAAAAGATTTTCACAGTTTTAATTATATTAATAAGCGCGCTTTTTGAAAAATGCTTCTATAAGACAATAATATGGCAGAGAGGATTGTAATATTATACTTTATAAAAATAGCCAAATCTTTAATTTTTCAGAATTTTTGGATTTTTACTTAGATTTGACTGATTCATATTGGCTCATTATTTTCCTATTCCCAAAGGCAGGCCCGT